GAGATGATAACGTGACGCAGACGAGGACCTGACGAGAGTAGAGAGAGCGATGAGAGAGACTTGAGTGGAGAGCGATGTGCAGGAGGAGGACAGAAATGAGGTCACGAACACGAAGAGCTCCGGGGTGTTTCACTGATCTGGCAGGCCATTTGACATAAACTGGCAAAGGGAGCAAACGCGAGAATTCGGTCACGTCTTTGTGTGATTCGCGTGATCATATATGGAATGCCATCGCCCTTCAATTTAATCGTTTTTCAAGCATTTCTCAATACACATTTTAAATCAATTTTAAACATTTCAAATAATTAATACAAAAAAAATACAAATTACTTTATATTGTTCGGAGAATTTTTTAAAATTCAAAAATTTTTAAATTAATTCACAGGAATAACAAATCAATTCTATTTAACTTGCGAAATTAATAATCACAACTTTCCAAATAATTGTGGCTTGATGTACAAATTCCTTCCACATTCATTGGGTAAAGAATTCATTTTCTAAAAACGCTACAAATTTATTTTCATAAACAACAAACCAATTTACTAACTTTCAATTTAATTGAGAACATGTAGGCATAAACTCACAATGTTCAAGTCTTGGCTTTATCACCCTAACAGAAATTATAAGTTTTTAAATGAATTAACCAGAATAACGAATCAGTTCACATAAGTTTGAAATTTAATTTATTAGCTTTTAACATAATCACCAAATGACGAATCTATCTGTTTGTTTTCAGAATTATTTGTTAACAAACGACAAAGTGTATAGCTTAAATTACAAATAATCATACAGTCTTTCAAAACCATATATAAACCGTTTCCAATCAAAGAGGCTCATTTAAACAATGCAATTTATGCAAATCCCAATCTATTAAACGTACGTCTGAAATCAACTTACTAACGTTACAATTTGCCGTCCACCTGTTGTTTCCGGTCGCGTGTGCAAAACTATTCAGGAAACGTCGAATCAATTTCATATAGATTGGCAATCTATTCACTACACTTTCCGAACCAGCCACTACAAACCAAAAAATTAAAATCAATTCATTCTCCAAGTGCCGCGATGTTTCACTCGATGGATACACCTATTGGAGCTTTCGCTGATTCGATTTTTAAACATCCTGCGGGGAAGGCGTAGTCCTGGTTGCGTTTTGCTCATAGGCGTCTATGTCTCCAAGGGTAGCTGCGGAGAACGTACCCTGGGTAAGCGGTTCGGTATACCGGAAGTCCCCTGGTAAACTATCTGAATGGGTTAGGGTTCGGGAGTAGGCGTAGGTCGACCTCCTAGACTCGTTATGTAGAGTAGGCGAGGTACGGTTTAATTCATTCATTGAAATTATAGAAATTGTTAATCTAGATCACGCGTGCATTT